CGGTCCCGCTTGGCGCGGCATGTAGTGCACTCAGGGAGCCCGCTTCCTCGGATGCACGCTCCTCCGAGTTGCAGCTGACAGTCCGATGAGACGTGCCGAGTGGCTTGTCCTTCTGTAGGACCGAGCCCTGGCTCTGGACTTGGCCTTGCAAGGCGTGGCGCTGGGCAGCCACCTGATCACTTGCGACAATGCCACGGGGCGGCGGGTGATTTCGTTGTTTGTGCGTGCCCTAACATGCTATGCTTCGCTGGTTGTGGAGATGCTGCTCGGGGCATGATTCCACCGTGGGATCTAGGTTTTTCACGTGGTTGACCCGGACAGGGTAGAAGTTGGTGATGGTGCTCACCCACCAGTGCGGATAACCTTGTGGTTTCCTAAAAGGATGTGGCCGGTTGAGGCCATTCCCTGGGTGAGTTCATCACGAGCCATGGACTTCCGACCTCTCGGGTGGGGGACTTGGCCATGACTGGTGATGAGAGAGGGTATTGGCCCCCCTATGTAGGTGAACCCTAGGATGCTGCCACTGAGGGTAGTTCCGAGAGTGTATCCGCCATGGACCACAGGACCCAGATCACCATGGTAGAGGTTTGGGCCACGGCTATAGGCGGACGCAGGCGCTGGCCCTTTGACACCGGTGAACTCATAGTTTTCATGACGGATGTGGCCACCATGGGCCATTCTGCGGGTGAGTCCACTGACGATGCGAGTAGGCATTGCTTCCTTCTCAATAATTGAGAGTCAGAGTAGCATGCTTACCTTTGCTCTGTTTTATCGAGAAGGTCTACGGTTTGTCAAGTGAACGTAGTGCTTTCGTAGTCTATGCCCCTTTATTCTTAAGTGGGGGAATCCTCTGAAAGCCGGTGATCGAGTGAGTAAGTCCTCTGAAAGTATACCTTTCCTTTCCCACCAGTTTTTTTGGTGCCTTCTTTATGCTCGAGACTAAGGAAGCAAGAGGAAGAGTGAGGGTCGACAGGCAAAGAATGGCTTGAGTGAAAGCTGGAGTGGCACAAGACAAATTGAAAGCAAAGGGAATAGCTCATATGGAAAGATACATATATAGTAAATGGAATTTGAAAGATACCCGTAATAAGCGATATTCTAAAAGATTCTGAATGAATGAAAACTTTCTAATAACATAGGGTTCCGTGTAGCCAATGGGATTGGGGGAGTAGTCCATAGTTCCCCTCTAGCCAATCCTAAAAGTTCTTCTGCCTTCGATCCAGTGGTAATCCTTTCAAGTTTCCAGCCAGTAGACAAGAAATTATGTAAGTAAGAGACTAGGGATAACCATCAGAAAAGGGGAAGCATGTCTCAATCAGTACTTCTTTTTTTGGAAAGGTAGGTTTTTTTATATGAAACTCAGGCAAGAAGACAAAAAGACATTCACGTTACCAATTCCGTCTCGTCTAATCTTTTATTGGTTTTGTTTTTTCTCTCGTGCCCTTCTGGGTGGTACAAAGAACAGATGTAGGGGTTGCCACTACTTAGTTCATCTCTCGGTAGAACAAGGCACCTATGCGGTGGGTTCGACTCCCACAGGAGCGTACATTTCCAATCGATTTGGTACTTTTCTTGATTCAGAGTTCTTGCTGTCTATTATAGATTCTTTAGCGATGTAAAGCCATCAGGCAGTAGACCGGCAAGGGAACGGCTGTCTCGGTATTCATTCTTGAATCAGTGACTGAGAGTTAGGGCCAGTGATTCATCTAATCAGACTAGTGGGGCATCTTTCTTTTCGTAGTAAGCAACTCTATTGAGAAAGCTCTTTCTTGATCGAAGTAAAGAATCATTGTAGTTCCTCTTTAGGCGAGCTACTACGTTCCTATTGTTCCTATTCTCCTATTCTGAATGGGATCAGGTTGTAATGAACCAAAAATACTTCGCTAAGGTTTAACCATTTCGCTACAGTTTTCTTCCAATTTCTTCTAAGGAATCAAATAAAAGAAAGAAAATAGAGGCCTTATAAGCGAAGGCACCTTTCTCTGTATGGAAAAAGGAAGAAGATGCTGCTTCGACTTCCGTTTCTAGCTCTGCTTGAGCTGCTTCGTCTGTTTCTCTTGATGTGGATGTCAGCGAGTCAGATCTCTTCTCTCACTTTCAGAGCACAGTTGGTCCTCAATTTGAAAACCGACAAAGGTGACTTCTTCCTTATTCACGCCTTGATGCGCCTTTTTCATGTTCAGAGCAGTGCATCGATACCATTCATCTTGAAGAGCCTATATAAGCCCTGACCTAAGAGAATCCTTTGATATCCGTCTTGCCTTCTCAATCCTCCTTAGAATATCATCCCATAGGTCTCAGGGTACCCTCCACCGACCCTTGTACTATAGGTTTCCGGGCGTGAGCCAAACCTAGGGCTTGGATCGAAATATAGCTTTGCTTCCTTTTTTTCTTTAGTCGGGAAGAGTTCCCAGCTTATAGTAAAGGCTATAATAGTTCTAGTTTTCTTTCTCATTAGGGAAGGCGGGCTCGCAAGCCTAGCCTGATTTTTAGCGTCCGGGAGGTCTTTTCGCTAATGTGAGAGGCATCGGCAGCCTCAACCACGGTTCAAGCACCGGCTCACGACAGAGCTTGATCATACCTGGACCTACTTCATTTTCTACTGGTGTAGGTTAGGTTACCGATTTTCCTCCGACGATGACTCTAGGTGAGGGACTTCGGCCTATCAACGGCATTTTGGACCTGCCTTTCTGCTCACTTGATAACAGATCATCTAGCTCTCTTTTATAGTATAGTAAAAGTCTATCTAGGCATGGAAGCTAAGCGGGCTAAGAAAAAGGCTTAATAAGATGAGTGGGGATTCTTTCAACCATTTATGAACCTCTAAAACTTGCTCTGAAGAATCTGGGGATCGTCCAGAAGGACGTATACTTGAGCTACTCTGTTAAATATTCTTCTTGAAATTGGCAGGCTCTTTTTACCCCCCTCTGAGCTGGTTCGACACTTATACATGCAGGCTTCTGGCTACTTTAGTTGTGCAGTTCAAACCACACTGCATAGTTGTTGGATCGCTATACTTAGCTGTCAAATTTCATGACGCCAAACTTCCTTCCCATAATATCATAATATGGTGGCACCAGTTCGGTGTTGCTCAAAATCTGTTGAAAGGCACATGACAAATGAAGTTTCTTTCTGTCATTCAATGAACTATATCAATTTATTTATATCTCAATACCATCACTTTCCTGTCATGTCTGACTATAAGAAACATTTGCAGTTCTATAGCAAATGACAAAGATATTTAAGAAAAAAGTCCCATGCTCCATGGGTCCAGTTATCAAGCCAGTACCAACTTCAAGAGTGATGGATAAACATCAGATCAGGCCGACTCCAACTCCAACTCCAACTCCAATGGATAATAAGCATCAGATCAAGCATATTCCAACTACAACCACAACTCCAATGGATAGACATCAGATCAAGTCGATTTCAACTCCAATTTGAGTACATCTACTGATGCAAATGAGAGCACCTGTATGCCCCCAATAAATTTTATCTTTCTGCCACTCTAGATGTTTATTACGTCATGTTAATGTTTTCTTATCCATATTATATTGGACTGATGTCGGTTGAGAATTTATTGTTTCTTTGTGTTATTATCGCCTTATCATTTCATATATCTTGCTGAAGTTGGTTTGTTAATTTACTTTTGAAATTAGTGGATGATTATTCAAGAAATTATTATAGACAACTTAAAAGAGGAGTTAAAATTGGTTCTGAGAAAAGACATCTAAATATTATTATAGAAGACACGTTGAATGGTGAGCAAAGGTCTGATTTCAATGAAAAATTGATAATTTCAATCCAGTTATAGTATGATGACAATATTCTTGCCTTGATTGTTTGCATTGTTACAAAAACAAACTAAAAATTGAATTTTACTTTTATTATTTTTAAAAAGATATTTTTATGGACACGTGCGTGCCGCACGTGCATGTCTACTAGTACTTGATAAAAGCTTATTAAACGACATAAAATGTTTCTAAGCTTTAGAAAATTCTACTAAAAATCATAGAGATAGATTGGGATACATGGAATATACATAAAATATTTAGAGCTGCCAAGAATATATGTAATTGGTTCAAAAAAATAGATTTAGCTCTAGGGAAATAGAAAAATATCCTAAAAATCCATGACTTTTCCAAAACATTCTTATTGGTGCTTGAGTATGTTTGAAAGTTCTCCACAATAAAAAAACATAAGATGCAATCATCCCACATGCATAGAATGCTTTTGAATTAATGTATGCACCGGTCGCATTCATGCTAGTTGCATCTCATACTTTTGATGTGCTAAGTTTTTAAAACATGTTTAGATATCACTTATAATGTTTTTTTAATTTTCTACATTTTCAGATTTTTTTTTGGAATTTCCTAGAGTTAAATCAATTTTTCAAGATTTATTGAGGCATTTTCACAAGATCTAAATATTTTATTTCGATCCTTCATATCCCAATCTATCTCTATGATTTTTATCAAAAAATTTAAAAACTTTCCATTTTTGTGGTTTACAAACTTTGCAACTAAAAAAACAAGATAAAACCGACTTCAAAACTAGGGAGGTAATTTGAAGTGTTTTTAGAGTCTAGGAGATAATATATCCGCCTTCAAAATTAGACCACAGCAAGTTAGTTAATCGAGGTAAAATGGATTTCCCCCCTCTTTATATCAAATGCTTTCGACCTTGAATCCTAAAATACTCTGATCGGCCATACCCGCTCCACTGTCTACTCCTCGCTGTGAACGCTGACCGGCACTGCGCTGGCCCCTGGCCCTTGTCACTGCTAGGTTCTTCGTAGTTTCAGCAGAGGAATCTATGCAATACTCGTCGCATTAGCCAAGGTGCGCCCACAATCTGTGTTCTGTCGACGCCCCCGTTACATTAGAACGGTTCGTTTTTCCTGTCACGAGTCGATTATCAGTTCGTCCACAACGCAGGTCCCAGTTCAACAAACCCTGCCCGACCCGGCGACCCGACCCAACGACGGCAGGAACAATCGATCATCGGAGCCCGTCGTGGTACTCGCAGCCGGAGGCGACGCCGCGGGCGGGCCTGCCGAGGTGCGCCTCCCGGATGTCGAGGCGGCAGTGCACGCGGCGGTAGAACTTGGACTTGACGAGGAGGCCGAGGATGTGGGCGCGCGCGCGCAGCACGAAGCCGAGCCGGACGGGCACCACCGCGGGGCCGAGGCGGCCGTTGTTGGGCTTGCTGTGCAGGCTGGCGCCCGCGCCGTAGAGCGGGACCTGCTTCCCCACCACGGACACCGTCACCATCCGCCCGCTCTTCCGCGGCTGGTAGAACTCCGCCATCTGCATGAGTGCATGACGCCATGAGCGTCAGTGACAACACGTCAGTTCAGTTCACATTGACTCAAAGCATGCATCATCTATGATTTATGAACACGATTACGAGCTGGCAAACAGGAGGAGCTATCTACTGTGAAAAAAAAGGTAATGACGCTTTTGGCCGTGTGATCCAAAACCAGAAGATAAAATGTAGGGAAATGAGCAGTAACTTAAAGGTAAAAGCCATGCAGCCTGTTCGCTTGCTCGTAAACGATCGTAAATTTTCAGTCGGAAACAGTGTTTTTCTCTCATACTAAACCAGCCAGCAGTAAATAATCCACGATACGATACGGCCTCACCTGAACAGGCGGCATATCAGAGCCCATGATGGCGCTGGGTGGCTGCGCACTGGGGGCCATCATCCTGTACACCATAGGATTCTCACAGGGAGCAGCAGCGGCTCATGAAAGAGCAGTAGCCACCCAGCTGACGTAGCAAAAGCGTAAAAGCCATAAAGGCGCGTCCTTTTTGGCGTTGAAAGGTGCGACACAAATGCCTGCACACAGCGACTGCGACATCACACCCGGCCTCTTTGCCAAGGGAGCAGGCTGTGGCAGTGCGGCGCAGGAGCTCCTGCTGCACGGACCATGCTGCGGCAGTGGGCCTGCAGCAAAGACTATTGGCTACGTGCCGTTCGGACTTGTGTGCCTAATAAGTTAGGACGGAAAGTACCGTTGGCTGATGGCTGATTTAATATGAGAAAAAAATATTATTCGTTGACTAAAAAGGTATAACTTAGTTCGTGTTTAGTTTTCCTCTAAATTCTTAAAAAATGCTACACTATCCATCACATCGAATCTTACGATACGTACACAGAGCATTAAATGTAGATAAAAAAACTAATTAAACAGTTTAGTGGAAAATTGCGAGACGAATATTTTAAGCCTAATTAATCCATGATGAAACAATAATTAACAAATAAAAACGAAAGTGCTAAAGTCCCCTAAATTCCAAACTTCACTCGACTAAACACGGGCTCATGAGACAAATAAAGCCCAAACCATCAGGGCAGTAGTCGTCCCCGGCTCCTCTGTACTGACAATCGCCACAGTGACCGTGGCTGCCGTACCGGGTACCGGCCGGTCCTTCCTTGGATTGGACACTGGAGGAGGGAAAAGTCGTTAATGGCGGGGCGGCCTCTCTGGCTCGAGTCACGTGAACGCCATGGCCACCCGCGGATAAGACCACTGCCATTGGGTCCGCGTGTGTTATTGCATTCCCAGTTTCACTCACAGTTGGGTATGCAAGACCAACGGATAGCCGAACTCAGCTTGTACAATTGGCACGGTGCTCTAGTCCATTATGAAAAAACCCCGATTTTTTCCCTACATCTGCATGCAAATATTGCACACATGTGAGGCAACTAGGCAAGTGATTTAAGGATGTCCTTTGTTTTTGGCGATGAACTGACAGATGATTTTGTTCCCTTCTGAATCACGAGTTTTCTCTAGGCATTCCGTGCGTGCGTGATGTTTGTACGTGAATGCGCAGTCATGGGCCAATTCATGTCTAGGACGCCAAGTCAGAAATCATCTGACGGCCTGGTCTCTGGATCGAGGAACCAACGATTGACAATGGACGACGCCACTCTGGTCGAACGTGACAAGATTGGACGTCGGTTTTTCAAACAGGTTGTACGAAATGCACAGGTTACCACTGTAAAAGTTCAAAAACAATGGAGAACAGGTTCGCTTGCTCCATTACCTACTCCGTAGGTCATAGGATATAGTACTACCACCGCATACCAGCGGCACCCTAGGCTGCTGCTAGGCCTAGGGCACGGCGCTGCCGAAATGTTCGTGGGAACGCTGAAGCGCCGGCAAAAATTCCACGGCGCGTGGGATTACGGCCAGGATAATGAAGTTCCATTTGGCTGCCCCCCATAAAGCCAGTCAAGAAGACCAACCTAATAAAACCCCAATCACATGGCCTCGGCATAGCTTTACATACCATCTCTGCTGATCGACTACGACGAAGCCATTCTATTTCTGTGTGTAACCTCCCTAGTAGTACGTATTTCTCTAGAGTCTAGAAGTATCTGTCTGCATTCTCTCCATTTATCTCTCTGTTTCATACGTTAGCACACAAAGTACCCCTTTTTAATTTTTATTCGACCTGTTCTTGTGCACATGAGACCTGAACCCGAACCATTGCCGCCTCACATGAGCGCGCCATCTAATTGAAAGGCTGGCCACATCCGGCCGTTACTAGCAGTAGCAATAGCAATAATCACAGGGGATTCACTTGCCTAATCTGAGCGGCGGCCGTCCACATCTCCTTCCGATCCAATCCAGGCACACCGCCCACCCCCGACGCAAATCGCAATGATTCTCACAATCAATTCATTCAAGAGGGTAGATCAGATAGATATGGTAGAGTAGAGTAGTACGTACGTCTCCGGAGGCGACGGTGAGGTCGCCGTAGAAGAGGAGGAACGGCGTGGCCGTGACGTGCAGGCTGAAGAAGGTGCCCCGGTTGCGGAAGCGCAGCCGCACCGTCGCGTTCACGGACATCATCTTCGTCGGGACGCCCGTCCGGTCCGTGCCGCCCTGGATGTGGTACGACTCGAACACCACGCTCTGCAGTGACAGTGAGTGCACCGGGAGAGCCATTGTCAGCAAAGGCACACACAAACGGACGTGATGAGTACTAAGCAAAATCGGCCGCGATCTGTGCGCGCCGCCGTCGCCCATAAATTGCAACAAATAAGGAATGCGGGTTTCGCGGCGGCGGCCAGCTGTTTTTCTTGGCCAGACTAGCTTCCAAATTCCAAAACGTTTCGGTACCCAAAATGTTTCCTTGGATTGGATGCAAATGCTAGACAGCTGGTCAGTTAAAATGCAATGTCTTGGAATGCTATTTTCTTGGATGGAATGGAGAGGCATTGTACGCTCGGAAGTACTACATGTTTCTCATGTGTACAAAGGTAGTAGAGCACATTACAGTACTGCCCTGGATTGAAGAGCTGAACATAGTACTGTTGCTGCTAGAAGGATCAGTCTAAATTTAGAGTTTGTTTTGAAAATGAAGACAAATCGAAGAACTCGAAGACGATGCATTGTATTATACTCGCACACCAGGTAGTTTTTGTTTCTCAGTGAACACAGAGCAAACCGAGGCTAGTGCCATAGTAAGAGGGAGGGACGAGGGACGGACCTTGACGACGACGTGAGGCTTGTACGACCTGCTGGCGCCCCACAGCACGAGCATGAAGAAGGCGAACACGGCGACGAACGCGAACGCGCCGAGCGCGTAGCACCGCCACGGCGACTCCGCGAAGCCGCCGCCGCGCATCAGGGACGCGTCCTCGTCGTCGTCGTCCCCGACGCTGCCGGCGCCACTGCCGTGCCCGAGCCGGCGCCAGGGGACGCTCACCACCGCGGCGACGTCGCCGCCGGAGCGGAGCTGGTCGGAGAAGAGGAGCCGCCCCGTGGAGGACTCCCGCGAGTGGTGCATGCCGGCGCCGGCGCCGCCGCCGACGCCGCCACTCGAGCCACGGTGGTGGTGGTGGAAGTGGTAGTGGAGCGGAGACTCGGCCGGGGTGGTCCCCGCGACGCCGCCGGAGGCGCCCAGGTGAACGTCCGGGTGGGAGGCGGCGGGGCTGAGGACGTAGTAGGCCGGGCGGCCGCGCGGGGACCGCGGCGGCGTGGACGCCGCCAGGCTCGTCACGTCGGAGTCCGTCTTGGCGTGCCTGGCCATCTCTCTCTCTCTCTCTCGGGAGTGGGACTGCGGGAGAGGAGCCGAGGAGGTGAGGAGAGGTGGGGCTGCCCGCTGCCGCAAGCGCAAGTGCGCAACGGGTGTTTGATGAAGGTTTGAAGGGGCACGCGAGGGGTGTTTTTTGCTTTTGAGACGGGAGCGCGCGGTTTGCGGCTGTGCCAGTGAGATGTGAGCCTGTCCATGCAGATACAGGACGACCTGGGAAGTTGTTGATCACCGCCAGGTAGCGCTACACTGGTAGACCAAGCAGCCGCCATGGCCTGCCCGATTTGAGATTTTGGCCATTTGGGAATGCTCGTGTCACAACCCAGCTGGGTTACCATCTATTTGAACTTGCGTGTGTGAAAACATGCTTTGTCGTACATTTTTTTCCAATTCTTTTACTCCACGCTCTCCGGCCCTCCAGTTGATTTGGCAATATAAAAATATTTGGCATGTTTCCTGGTTAGTTTCTGGGTTGGTTTGGACTGGCTGGTGCTATTTTATTGTAAGAGAAAAATACTATTGGCTGGCTGAAACCAACTAGCGAACATGGTGATTGTAGCAAAAGCTACGGCAGGTATTCTTCTGGCTATGGCGACGGCGGCAGCAGAGAGGTATAAAATATTATACCAAAAGCTATGGCAGCCTCAACCATAACTGTAGAAACCATCAGTCGAACGACCCTATGGTTAGGCCGAGGGATAAGTGGGAGGCAATGGTAGCAGAGTTGATACCACGGGTTGCCGACAGGTGGTGTGGATGGTGCCAGTGTCTACGAGCGTAAAACTAAACTCGCTAGTAAGAATTTTTTTAACACTTTTTGTAAACTAGTTTTAAATTTAACACTGTTTTTTTTTCAAAACTAACATTTTTGGCCGCGTCTATTGCCATGGCGCGACGAAACGTCTATGTCGCGCCATGCATGGTGGCGCGGCAGGAGGCTGACGTGGCGACGACCGAGGCTGCTGATCGGTGACGTGGTAGGGTCTGCCGCGCCACCGATCTTGGCGTGGCACTGACGCGCCACGGAGCATGGCGTGGCAGGACCAGATAAATATTGCGAGCGAGCCCGCCCGCCCGCACGCACGCCGCCGCACGCGCCCGGGCGCCCGCGCCCGCCCACTCCCGCCGCGCAGCGCCCGCGCCGGCCGCGCCACGAACGTCGGCGCGTCACGGCCGCCCGCTCATATCAAGGTACCTCCCTCTCGATTTCATGTTATTATGATTGTTATTGATTTAGGATAGTTAGTGATTTAGGATAGTTAGTGATTTAGGATAGTTAGGATTAGTGATTTAGGATAGTTAGGTTAGTGAATTTGTTTGTGATTTAGGTATGTAGTTTTTAGGTTTGAGGTTGTGTGTTGTAGTATAGTTAAGGTTTGGTTAGCTAGTTAGGGTTTATGTTACTGTTAGTTAGAATTTTGGGTTTAGTGATTGATTAGGTATTTATTATTTAGTTTATAGTTAGTTATTTAGTTAGGGATTTTGGGTATAGATACTAGTTTTCAAGTGTCGGTACTTAGTAGTGCGTGATACGTCGATTTGGATGACTTGATGAAGTTTCACTAAATGCTTATTTTCCTAGTGAAGTTGTTTAATATGTCTGTTAATGTTACTTTAAATATATACATGTGCTTTCTTATTGTGTTCGTATTGCATAACAAGTAGTTCAAATTTTGCAATACTATATAATGTTAATTGAATACTCTTAATTTAAATACTCTAACACTTTGTTTATCAATTTGTAACATGATGACCCCTCCCACGCAGCACCCGTTGTATCCCATTCTTGAGGTGGAGTACGACAACCAGCACCGAGCACACATCTTGAGTGACACCGACGCAGAGGTGGCCTTGCCACCTTTGAGGCCCCGCACGCACACCAGAGCGCACCAGTGGGACGAGCGTTACGCACCGTATATACGGCGTGCCGACTTCCTCAAGCTTGTCCGTGTTGTCAACTATGGTCTTCCGCCCCTTGACCCAGCACTACTTACTGTAACTATAGACAGGTGCGAGTGTCTTCTTTATACGTAAACATTCTTATAACAAATTTGAGTCAACTAATAGTCGTTCTATTCTTATAATAGGTGGAGGCCTGAGACCCACATGTTCTACCTACCTTGTGGCGAGATGACCTTGATCATGCAGGACGTGAAGGCTATCTTTGGCCTTCTGTTGGGAGGATTTCTAGTGACGAGTATAGTTGACAACGATCACTGGAGGGAGCTGGTGGCTTAGTTCACTGGCTTTCTTCCACCGGACGACGAGGTTTTAAAGAAAAATAAGTGAGCAATTTAGGGCTATTTAATACTTGCATTGTTTTCCTGCAGCCATCGGGGCTTATTTTCTTTGGTGAATTTTAGGAAAAGTTCTGGTGTTTCGTCGTCCTAGATCACATAGCGCTTTGATTACTTAGACCCACAGGCTGAGGAGGCTCAGACCGACAGGTTCGCTAGAGTGTGGCTCTGGCACTTCCTTGGTGCTTTCCTCTTCCTAAACGTCTCGGGCAACAGCATCAGCTGGATCTTCCTTGACATACTACGCCAGCCGTGGGAGAACATAGCGGCGTATAGCTGGGGCAGCGCAGTCCTAGCATGGACGTATCGATAGCTATGCGTTGCCTGCCGTCGCACCTCAGGGTATGCGAACATTGGGGGTTGCTTCTACCTACTCCAGGTTTGGTGTTGGGAACGATGACCCGTTGGGAGGCCCCTTAATACTGGTTTACCGGTAAGTACTTCGGTTCACTATATTCTTCGAGGCAGTTACATATGATGAGATTATTAATGGCTAATTCATTATCGTGTTCAATGCAGCAATGGAACGGGCAGGATACACTCCCTATAGCTCTGTATATCTGGATGGAAGCAGAGTTAGTTAGAGGGAATGCGGGGCGCAAGTACAGGGAGTATACAGACGGTCTCGATGTCTTGACACAGCACCAAGTTAGCTCTCTTTACTATCATACATGTGTCTTGTTCGATGTACACTATATCACAACCTAACTCAATTACGAAATGTTCAGGTGCATTGGTGTCCTTGGGATGCTTCGGAGCTCCAGTACTATCTCAGTCCTATCACTAGGGACGAGTCAGACGAGTATCGCTACAACGTCCCTCTTATTTTCTTCCACGTGGTCGAGATTCACTTGCCCATCAGGGTCTGTAGATAGTTTGAAAGAATGACAGGCTACCCACCACCGCTTTACTCCACCAACCAAGAATTGCACGGGTGCGTTATCGATTAATAACAAAGCTACAATTAAGAGGTGTGTGTGGTACAACTAACATCGTTTTGTTGCAGGTATGATCGCAGGAAGAGGTACAAGACCAAGGATTGGCGTGTGACACACAACGCGCACATCCACTTGTGGCAGAACAGGGAACGGCAACCGATCCATGTGGGTCCTCCACACGACCAGCACACCTTCGACGAGTACATGCGGTGGCTTCACAGGTCTATAAGGACACATACCAAGCCCTCGTACACTGAGCAGGCGATTGACGAGGACTCAGAGGAAGATGTGATCGAAGATGTGTACGACGTTGCCACTATGGAGGACACACAGCTACAGAGAACACCGCTTCAAAGATACGTAGTAAGATACTTGAATGGTATAATTTGTTATCCATTTGGTATTAAGTTTGTGTACTAAAACTGTCCAACCGCGTTTCTGTACCCAGGCGACACAATTGTTAAGGATGTCCAACGAAGCAGCGTTCCGGCTTCACGAGTCTAGAGGACAGGGGCCAGGCGTTCTCGAGGCTTTTGTGGAGGTAAACATAAACTTGTCCATTCGAAAAATGTTTCTTTAGTGTATATGCGTTTGGAAAATGCACTAACTTTAACGTCTATTTATACAGAAGGTGAAGAAGAGCTGCAGGAAGCTAGCTCAGAAGCTGAACTGCATGGACACTTCTTGGGTGGAACCGCCACTCCCAGCTCGGTCAGGTGGCACGTCTTCAGCCTCTTTGAAGACACCACCCGGCTCTTCTCAGCCGGTGACCGGTGACAGGTGCCATTTCCGTAGTGCGTACACCACCACATCATAGCGCTGGGAAGGACCCTGCAACCGAGGACGACGAGGACGATGACTACGACGACCCCTCGGGCTTCCGCAGACAGCACGACCAGTGGGACGATTGGTCGCAGGACGAGATCGGCATGTCTCAACTAGGTGGTGCCCCGCTTGGTACCCAAGGAGCCTCACAGGTACTAACAAATGTAGTTTCTTTAAATACGTAGGTTCCATGAACTAACGATCATAAAGATTATAAGTAATCGTGCATATCATATACTTGCAGGGTACGAGCTGTATGCACCTGCGACGCGACCACACCGACGTTGGCTACACTCCCAATGTGTTACCAACAAATCCGAAGAGACAGAGACGACCGAGGGATCCTTACACTCCTAGGTCTTAGTTTGTTAGGCCGAATGAATATTGGCGTCAAAAACTTGCAAGCTTAGTTGGTTATGTTATGTCGAACTTATGTCAAACCAATAAAAATGTTATGTGGCAATTTGTCAACTTGCGCACGGACTTCATTTATTTGCTTCATATTCGTTTCAATGCGTCGCGGCAGCACTGCCGGCGAGATTAAGTAGCAACTAGTTCAGGAACCGGCAGTCCTGACGTATCTCGACGCCGGTGGCCGGCGTCTTGACCCCGATCCTCCCGAGCTTAGTCATCGCCGCCACGAAATCACCGAAGAAGGCACCCTGGTTAGACGAGCAGTAGTCGACCGTGCTGCGCGAGGGGTCAAGGAAGCTAGGGTCCATGGTCGCGTCGCTGTCGATCCTACAATATAGGGCCAAAAAGCCAAAAAAATAAGTGATTCGTTTTTAGCCCTTATAAAAAGAAAACGGATTCTTGAACCTCTTTCACGCTCATGTCACGTCAAGGTACTGCAGAAAAAAGAACCGCAAAATTCGATCCATTTTTTTCGTAATCGATTAGTTAACATGGTGGTTAACCGTATTATGAAAGACGGAAA